GGGATTTCAGGTTTAGGGCCCTGGAAATCCGAAGATGATGGCGCCGCTTTGGTTTAGGGTTTAGGGTTTAGGGTTTAGGGTTTAGGGTTTAGGGTTTAGGGTTCAGGGTTTAGGGTTTAGGGTTTAGGGTTCTTTATTGCCAGAGGGACCTTGGCAATGTACCCACAAGGTGCCATGACTCTTACGGATTGCTGCGACTCTGCCAGGAGCAGGACCTCTACATCCTACCCCCGGAAGCCTGTAACCTTCGACCCCCCACCCTAAGGGTCCAAGCAGTCCTTGTCTATGGCTGTTGGTACCCAAAATGGACCCAAAGTCCTATAATCGGGAGTACTTGGACCCTTAGGGTGATATAGTCCGGGGAAGTGAACGGTAGAGCTCTAGAATGTGAAAGTCCTAAGCCCAAGACCCTTAACACCCTCAACGACAAAACCTAGAGCCCCCCCCGAAACGCCTCAGCCTAAATTCGGGTTTAGGGTTTAGGGACCCTTTTTTATGATGATTTTTGCTCATGTGAAGTGAGTTTATCTCGGGGATTTGGTTAGTCTATGCAGGGCTCATTTAGAGATTTGGTGAGCGGATGCTTCGAGGTTTCGTTATGGGGATACTGGCTTTCTGGAAGTAACTGCCCTGTATACTATAAGTCCCAGAACGCAAACCCTCTACCCACATCCTACTGGGTACCTAAAGAGTTCCTTTCTTTGGTCATCCAGCTTCATATTATCGGCGCCTAAACCCCCTAAACCCTAAACCCCCTAAACCCTAAATCCTAAACCCTAAACCTCAAACCCCAGACCGCCTAGACCCGTAAGCCTAGCCTAAACATGCCTAAACCCTAAAGCCTAAACCCTAAACCCTAAGACCCTAAAGCCTAAAGCCTGAACCCTAAACCCTAAACCCTAGAACCCTAAAGCCCGCGAACCCTAAAACCCTAAAGCCCGCGAACCCGCGATCTTCCAACGACCGCGACCACGGCAGCAGCTGGCGGCTGTGACTGCTTTCAGGAGCGACCTCCGGGGTTGTTTTAGGGTTTAGGGTTTAGGGTTTAGGGTAAGGGTTTAGGGATTAGGGTTTAGGGTAAAGGGTCCTATGTAATATAATTAGGGGCCTCAATAACTACCTATACAATTTTGGGGATTCCTTACTATAATTATAGAAAGATATACCCCAAAACCCCATTATGATTATTAGGGCGCCTATATTACCTATAAAGTAAAATGTAGGGTTTTCATAGTCTGATGCAGCGAAGTATCTCCCATAACAGTACATCGGACCTTTTGGGGTTTTAAGGAGGGGTTTTGCACTGTGCGTTTAAAGGCTGTTATGGGGTGTCCGATGTTTTTGTTTTTAAGCGGGTATTTATAGGGTTTCGGAGAGATTTCATAGGGCAGTCGTAGGGAATCATGTAGCTTTTGGCTTACAAGGCTTGAACCCTAAGCCTTGAGCCCTAAACCTTACACCTTACAAAGCATGCCACGCGGCGCCATATCTACCAGTTTTCAGGCTCTTGTGTCGGTTGAGGGTTTAGGGTTTAGGGCTTAGTGCTAATCGGATTGTCCAGGCCGGGTTGAGGACCCTGAATGGTTACTGTTTATAATAAAATGTGCGACACGCTTCCGTAGACCTATATAGTTAGCAACACTATTCTGAAAGGGTTCCTTGCGAGGAACAATGGGAGATATAACGTACTCCAGAAACCCTATTCTACTTGTAAAGGGCCCTACTTGGTAGAACCCGATGTGTAACCCTCATGGAACCCTGCAAGGAGCGCTTGAAAGGAAGCTTTATTGAAGATAATAAGGTCCCTAGATTACCTGCAAGCCAGAAGTTTTCGTTGCAGAGTGGCCCACAGTGTTGAGAGTTATCACTGATAGGGTGTGGGGTTCAGGGTCTGGGATTATAGGGTTTGGAGGGTTTTGTTTTAGCTTGAGGGTTTAGGCTAAGATACTCCCGGATTGCATGGTCAGATTGTGATCTCGACGGCTTCTGGTATTTAGTCAGTAGGTTTTGCACATGGTAACCCCAATTTAGGATATGTGACGCACCCAAACACTCCCAAAGACCGAAGTAGGCCGCCTTCAGAGACACAGATTAACCCACTGAGCCATCAACGCTAAACCAACAGCAGGTGGGGGTTAGGGGTTAGGGATATGATAGACGGGCGAATGATCCCATCGCTGGATCTTTGCTACGACCCGCAGCTTCAGGGCAACCCGCTGTGCAGCGTTGCCACACTGTGCCGTTGCCGAATGTCGCGGTCTTCTGACATAAGCGGTTTTAGCTGGAGCGTCCAAGAGCCATCGAGCTAGTAAGAAGATAATAAGCACTCTGTGAGAACGACTGGGGGGTGCTCTTACTGTGTAGTCTGGTCACGGTATGTAAGACGGCGCAGAAAAAAAGCATCACGCGCTGGGCTGTTTATTGCCTCACCGTGAACCTACACCACAAGAGTAGGTAGTCTCGCTACAAATCAAGTCGTAGTGTATGCAGAGCCACACTGAACCCTAAGCCTAAGCCTTAAGCCCCACAACTTACAGTAGACCTTAAACCCAAGCCCTAGACCCCAAAACCCTAAACCCCAGGCCCTAAACCCATAACCTTAGAGTAGACACTACCTGAGCCCTCAATAGCCGACCTTCTTAGGGCTCCTCAAGTTGTTTTTGTTTTGTAACAGTCCTGAGTCAAGGTAAGAGCGTTTAGGGCTCAGGTAAGCCTTATGTAGCCAAAGGGTCCTACGTACCTATATGGTGCAATGTATGATTTAGGGAAGTACCCGCCATAATAGTACATTGGACCCTTTGCAGTAGAGCCACACACAGCTGCAGCCATGGCAGAGATCGTGGAGTACACCGCCGAGAGGTACTTCGGCAGAGGCGGAAGGCCACGCGTAGTGCAGGACATTTGTAGGGTTTGAGGTGCAGGACATTTGTAGGGTTTGAGGTTATCGGTATACCATCTCTTTTTCTATCTATCTGTCTATCTGTCTATCTATCCATCCGTTATTTTCGAACGATGTATCTGTCTATCTATCGATCTATGTATCTATCTATCTATTTATCTATCCACTTATCTATCTATCTGTCTATCTATCTATCTGTCCGTCGATCTAGCTACCTATCTATACAAAAGAACACACAAGTAAGTATGCATATATCTATAAGCACAGATTCTCATGTGTTCTTCTATATGTATGAATACATATATATATATATATATATGTATGAATATTTGAATATTTATACACACATGCACACATTCGTTGTGTGCTTGTTTACGTACCATATATGTTTGTGCACAAGTTCACGGGCTTCTTTTGCTTGCGCATATATGTGTATGTTCATGTACATGTACATGTAGGTGTGTACATATATGTGTATACATATGTATATATATATATAACTAGATATATCACATTTGTTTGAATTTCAAGTTTGGTTATACTAGGTAGATGATAGGTTTTTAGATAGAGGCATTCCGATTTTGTGCTGCCAGGGTTTCAGCACATAGATTTTAAGGGGCTGTTCAACACCTGCTTGGAGGATCATGGGACTTAGTAAGTAGGGTTATAGCTAAGGTAACTATGCTTATAACCCCAATTAGGGGACTTATAACCTTACTTACTAAGTCCCATGATCCTCCAAGTGGGGCTCAAGCAAGTGTTGGTTGGGAGCTTCATGGCTTCACACCCGTAGCAGTCAGCTTGACACCTCAAGGGTCCTTAGCACCTACCCGAAACCCTAAACCCCTACACCCTATAACCCCTAAACCCTAACCCTAAACTCCTAAACCCTAAACTCCTAAACCCTATACCCTAAACCCCTAAACCCTATTCTAACCCTAAACCCCTTATACGAGCCTCCGTCAGACCCCTTTATGTCATCCTCAGGACATGCTTGGCGAGTCCCCATGCTGGGATCACCGCACTGACACACTGTACTGGGTGTCTCGGCTTTTCCAGGAGCCGCTTTGGGATAATCACTATAACCCTAAACCCTAAATCCCAAAGTTCTCTGATTGCTTGATTACTGTGGAGCCCTAGCTGTACTTAGTTTTTAGTTAGAGGCTTTACTATCAACACCCAAAACCCTAAACCCTAAACCCAGTTATTTTATTATTAACTTATACTTTGAGAGCTTCCTTCGACTTAGGGTTTCCGGATTTTTAGCGCTCAGGGGTCTGCCGTCTTACTGGGTTTAGGGTTTAGGGTTTAGGGTTTAGGGCTTTAAAAGGGCAAGAGCCCTTCAACCAGGTCATGCAGCCGAGAATGTATCCACACTACAAGCTCTTACTGCAAATGGCGCTAACTCTAAACCCTAAACCCTAAGCCCTAAGCCCTAAAAGCTAACATAGAATCCTGAGTGTATACATGTATGTACCACTATTGCTCCACTGGGGTTCGTGATGTACTGTAACATACCGCGGTCCAGTTCCTCAGGGCCCCACGTCGTGGAACCATCATACAAATCTTAGGGGTTTTTGGTTTAGGTCACTCTGAAGCTTAGAGGTTTAAGGTTCAGGGTTAATGTAGGGGCTTTTTTAATGAGAATAGGGTTTTGGGATGTATAACTATACAACCCTAAGCCCTAAACCCTCAACCCTAAGCCCTAAACCCTATAATTATATTAAGGAACCCCCAAAAAAAAAATAGTATTGGTAATTGTCTAGGCCCCTACATTCCGGTTAGGCTCAGGATCGGATTCCCGGCAGAGTGCCTGCTCCTGGGTTTGAAGCCCTTTTGGGGTCTAGATATCTTTTAGGTTTTAGGGGTTTAGGGTTTAGGATTTACGGTTTAGGGTTTAGGGTTTAGGGTTTAGGGTCTAGATATCTTTTATGGTTTAGGGGTTTAGGATTTAGGGTTTAGGGTCCAGATATCTCCTCCAAGATGTCATGGAAAGCTGTCGTCTAAGTTTCGGCAGGATCCTGCTGCAGGGAGACCCCCTGCATGTTTCTGCCAGGGTTTAAGGTTTAGGGTTGGAGGGTGGTTGCCCGTAGTCTCCGGGCTTCATACTTGGAGTATCATGGGACTAAGCAACCAAAGCGTGCTGACTAGGAGAACTACAACAGCCTTCTTTGGGTGTTGGGCCATTATTTTACCTGGTTTCGGGGCTCCAGGTACAACCCTAAACCCTAAACACCTAAACCCCTAAACCCCTAAACCCTAAACCCTAAGCCCTAAACCCATACTAAGTTCCATCATCCTCCAAGTAGGGCGTCGGGTCCCGGGGTTCAGGATGTGGATTTCAGGTTGAGGTTAGGGGTTTAGGGGTTTAGGGTTTAGGGTTTAAGGGTTTGGGTTTAGGGGTTTGGGGTTTAGAGGTGGTTTTACGGTTTAGGGGTTTAGGTTTTAAGGGTTTTGGGTTCAGGGGTGGTATGATCCTGATGAAATGGTCATGTTCGGTTGCGACGTTGCCGGGCGAAGGAGGTCGAGAGCGCGCGGCCGCGGACCTGTTTCTGAGAAATATAGGGGCCTTAATAATTACCTATAATATTTTGGGGGTTCCTTATTATTATAAGTATAGTACAAGATACCACCAAACCCTATTCTAACTATTAAGGCCCCTATAGTATTGATTGAGCTAAGCCCTAAACTTTCCTAAACCCTGAATCCCCGAACCCTAATCCTGAATCCCTAAACCCTGAACCCCTAAAGGCCCTAAGCCCTAAACTTTCCTAAACCCTGAATCCCTAAACCCTATAGACCCTGAAGCCCTAAACCCTAAACCAAGAATCCCTAAACCCTAGACCCTGAAGCCCTAAACCCTGAATCCCTAAACCCTAGACCCTGAAGCCTTAAACCCTGAATCCCTACACCCTAGACTCTGAATCCCTACACCCGAGGTTGACATCGCCGGCATGGCCATCTGCAGCTACGAGGACCAGCCCAAGAAGTTGAGCCGCTGGCAGATTGGCGAACAGCTGGGCTTTGTCGCCGTGACTGATGACCTCAACGTATCTTGCTGGTGCTTAAGGGGCTGTGGAGGAGGGAATATGTACATGTCTATATATATATATATGTATGTATACGTATATATGTATAACACAGATAGATATGTGTATATATATATATAGAGAGAGAGAGAGAGTGAGAGCGAGGTTCGATTTTGTTAGATTAATCCCAGGGCTCCTTTCAGGGATCCACTCCCTTCGGCACAAGTAAGGTGTTAATCTTCGGCGGTGCCGGGGGTCTATCTTTGTTCCGGAAAGCCGATGGACACATCACTCGCTTGTACCATCCTGAGCAGAAAGTCCACCCAAACAACCGCTTCAACGATGGGAAGATTGATCCCGCTGGTCGGCTGTTTGCTGGCACTATGGACATGCACAAGCCTCGTAAAGAGGGTGTTGGCGCATTGTACTGCATGCAGTGCAACAAACTGAAGAAGGTTGAGGCTGTGGGACCTGTGACGGTGGCGAATGGATTAGGGTGGAGCCCGGACAACCTCACGTTCTACCACACTGACAGCCCAACACGCTCGATCCGTGCCTTCAGCTTCGATATCCGTACTGGTGCTGTCCACGGCCCAGCCAAGACTGCCTTCACCGTTGCTGAAGGGGTCCCTGATGGCATGTGTGTGGACAGCGAAGGCTTTCTGTGGGTGGCCAACCTTCGCGCGGCACAGGTCTTGCGGGTGAACCCAACAACAGGACACATCGTCGCTCGTATCCGGCTCCCAGTCCCCCTTGTTACCAGCGTTTGCTTTGGCGGACCCTATTTCCGTACCTTGTTTATTACCACAGCAATGGGCACGACGGATGCCGACATTGCTGAATGCACCGATGCCAATGCCGGATATGTCTACGCAGTGGAGGTTGACATCCCTGGAATGCCCATGAGCCCATTGAAGCTTGATGGCCGATGCTGTTTAAGCTTTGAATCCGGGTTTAACCCTGCAGTTTAGAGGGCTGATGCCTTCCAGCTGTGCTGAAGGATCTGCCTTCGAGAAAATTTCGATCGAGGTCAGACACAAGTAGGGTTTAGGGTTTAGGGCTGTGCCAAGCACACATGTCTTGACGGTCAGATAGAGCACCAGATGCTTCTTCATCGTAAGCCTACCCACTTGCAAGAGTTCATGGACATCTGCGCAAATGGCAGGTTCATGCTGGAAGAAGCGGTCTACTTTCTTCATCGGAAATTTGGAGATGTTGTCCCTTTTTGTGTCTTCATAATTCCTGGACCCTTTAATAACCTACCTTTTTAAGGACATATATTCGAAGGTTATATTAAGGAACCCTAAAAACGTAGGTTCTTTAGGGTCCAGGTTTGCTATGATTCCAACTTCAGCCCCATTGATTTTTTCAGGTCCCGGCACGGCTGCTTTCCTTCGAGGTAGTACTTATCCTCGCACTACACAGTCGCAAAACCCAACGGGTCCTAAGTACCTGCGTGTTATAAAGCAGGCTTTTATAGCAGTAGGAATTACAATTATGCTTCGGGTAAATAGCCCCCATGTAGGTACTTAGCACCCATTAGCAAACCCTATTCAACCTGTTTCGGTCCTTATTTTGCTTCCCCTCCCCGCCAGGAGTCCGTCATGGAGCGTGTTGCAAAACGGACAGCTCGGTCTTTATCTGCACAAGTGCCCTTGGTGGCTCGCGGGCTTTGCTGACCCAGAAAGCCCTTGAAATGAAGGAATATAGAACCTCGAACAATTACCAGTATTAGTCCTTAGGGTTTGCTGATATAGTCGGCTAACTATGCTATACTATACCCCCAAAACCCCATTCTAATTACTAAGACGCCCTATTTTAGACGCATCGTTTTTTGGGAACTTATCCACAGCAGTACTTCTCCCGAAATCAGACATACGTGAACATGTGCGAAGCTAGTCCAGGTTACAGTACTCTAGTACATGTTCTAGATCCTAAGCCCTGAACCCTAAGCCCTACACCCTAAACCCTTAAGCAATGCAGACTGAGAGAATTCCAAGTACCCAAACAGGAGGGTTGTAGGTCCCAAATACTGTACCCTGGCTGGTTTTTGGCACTTAAGACCTTGGTATTGGGGTACTTGGATCTTCTGGGGAGGACCACCCTAAACAACCCTAAGCCCTAAACCCTAAACCTAAATCGCCTCCCGACCAAGACGGAATCAAAAGCCCGGGCCGTAAAACGATTAGGGTTTAGGGCTTAGCAGCTGAGCCTTAGCACCCCACTCAAAATCCTAACCTACCGTCATCTCAAAGCCCTGAACCCTCAACCCTAAACCAGCATCCCTAAACCAGCATTCCCATTTCCGAAGAGAAAATGCTGAGGCGTCTGAGACAAACTGAAACTAAACCTTAAACCTTACCTGCACCCAAAGAAGCTATCCTTTTCGGTTTCCTCAGTCTAACTTCCTCATACAAATCCCAAAAGGTAAGTTAGTTTGGATTTTACGTAAACAGCCCTAAACCCTAAACCTGAAAGCCTAAACCCCCTAAACCCCCTAAACCCCCTAAACACCCTAAACCCTGAACCCTAAACCCTGAACCTTGAGCCCTAAACCCTAAACCCTAAACCCTGAACCCTGAACCCTAAACCCTGAACCTCCTAAACACCTTGAACCCTAAACCCTGAACCCTAAACCCTAAACTCTGAACCGACAGGCGAGGAGTGGCTCGCTGGGGGAGGCTCGCTACACCTCGGCCGGGTCGCTTTGCCATCCTTTTGTTTTGGTGGGCTCTAGGGCTTCAGGAGCTTTTGGTTTCAGGGTTTAGGGTCTAGGGTGTAGGGCTTCAGGAGCTTATGGTTTCAGGGTTTAGGGTCTAGGGTTTAGGGCTTCAGGAGCTTATGGTTTCAGGGTTTAGGGTCTAGGGTTTAGGGCTTTAGGAGCTTATGGTTTCAGGGTTTAGGGTCTAGGGCTTAGGGCTTTAGGAGCTTATGGTTTCAGGGTTTAGGGTTTAGGGTTTAGGGTTTAGGGTTTAGGGTTTGGGGGTTTATGGTTTCAGGGTTCAGGGCTTCGGGGGTTTAGGGTTTAGGGTTTGGGGGTTCAGGAGCTTATGGTGTCAGGATTGTTGTTGGAGTTCAGGGCTTTGGGACTAAACTCTAAACCCTCAACCTCAAAACCTAAACTCCCGAAACCCCCTAAGCACCCTAAACCCCCTAAACACCCTAAACCCTAAACCCTAAACCCTAAACCCTAAACCCTAAACACCCTGAACCCCAAACCCTAAGCCCTAATCGGCTTTAAGGACTTAGCTGGGTCCTTGTTGGATACAATTTTACATTTTTGTGATAATAAAGGCCAATAAGGATTAAAAACGATCTTTTTTAATATAGCCCCAACAGGGAACCACTTAAGAGTTTAGTGTAAAAGGGGGGCTTCGGGTTTAGAGTCCGAGCTTTCCGGGTTGCAGGGGCTCTGGGGTTTAGGGTTTAGGGTCTATAGGGTTTAGGGTTTAGGGTTTAGGGTCTAGGGTTTAGGGTTTAAGATTTAGGGTCTGGGGTTTAGGGTTTAGGGCCTGTTTGCTCTTTAGATCAGGGCAGACCATGTAAGATTGCAATCCTTCCTTCTATTTCGGGTGTAAGGGCCATTGGGATTCCGGTATACTCTAAACTCTTAACCCTACCTAACCCCCAAAAGTAGATAAAATAACAGCCCAAAACCTATCAAGTGCCATTATTCTACACACTTTGGGGGTCCAGGTGAGCCCTGCACTGCCAGCGGCCTTTTGTTTATGCGGTGTTGTCGAAGCGGGGCTCTTGGGGACAGCAAAGACCTCGGCTAGGACCGGAGTTTTATCCAAACCTCCCCGAGGATCCAAAATAGAAGCAGGAATAATGTGGTTTTTAGGGTTTAGGGTTTAGGGTACGGTTTAGGGTTTTGGGGTTTGGGTTTAGGGTTTAAGTAATATTGTTCCCATTGTAATGGCTGCTAATCACAGCACCGGAGTGTTCCGCCGCAAGCCTTGTTGTAATGCCTAGGGCCTCCACGCTAGAAGCAGCCAGATCCTTTAGGTCTAGGACATTTTCAGGTGGGTAGTTTCCGTTATAGGAGCCTTATAGAAGGTCTATATACCTTAGAGAAGCCTTATAGAAGCCCCAACATACAATAAACTCCCCACCTGTAGTTTCCTTTAACCCCAAAACCTAAACCCTAAACTCCTAAACCCTAAATCCTAAACCCCGAAACCCCTAAACCCTAAGCTCCCCACCTGTAGTTTCCTTTAGCTTAAGGCTGTTTCCTGTAATGTCTTTCTGTGTAGTACCCAGATGGATCCAAGAAGGCGATCCCTGAAGTTGGTTACCCTTCAAAAGTGCTTAGGGTTTAGGGTTTATAGGATTTAGGGTTTAGGGTTTAGGGTTTGGGTTTAGGGTTTAGGGTTTAGGGTTTAGGGTTTAGGGTTTAGGGTTTAGGGTTCAGGGTTCAGGGTTGTAGGTTTAGGGATTCCAAACGATGGGATCTACTATCTAGATTCTCCCAGGAGTCTGGGTAGGCCTTTTTCGATGCTTGGATGGCTAAGAGGGTCCATATCCCCAAGGGTCCCCCTAATCGTAACTCCTACATAAATACCTTTAAAGGTTCAGTTTAAATGTTCCTTCAAGGGTGAGTTTCTATGAAGGCTCTACAAGGGTTACCCAAGTACGGCACCCTTATAACGGGCACCCTAAAACGGACCATCATGAGAGAATTACACTTATAAAAACACCCTTTCAGGAACCCTAAAATAACGGGAGCCGAATGTAGAGAGCTACCCCTAGCAACCCCTAAACCCTAAACCCGTAGTAATCTCTAAAACCCTAAAGCTCTAAGCCCTAAACCCCAAGCTAGACCCTAAACCCCTAGTAAACCCTGAAACTCTAAAGCTCTAAACCCTAAAGCTCTAAACCCTAAATCCCTAAACCCCTAAAACCCTAAACCCCTAGTAAGCCCTAGTAAACCCTTAAACCCTAAAACCTAAACCCCTGGTAAACCCTAAAACTCAGGTTGGGATCTTGGCTCGAGAGGTGATGGCCCTCCTGGGCACCCACGACGCACCGAGGTCACTGGAGGTCGGAGTTTGGGGCTTCGGGGGTTTAGGAGTTTAGGGGTTCAGGGGCTTAGGGGGGTTGGGGGGCTTAGGGGCTTAGGGTTTAGAGTTGAGGGGTTCAGGGGTTTATTTAGTTTAGGGGTTTTGGGTTTAGGGGGAGCTTGCTGTCGTTTCGTTTTCAGGGTAGGGGAGAGGGGAGGATTGTGGGGCCCACGGAGTGTGGGTGTGAGGGTTTCGGATTGAGGGCGTAAATGCATGAAATTAAGCAGACCATAGTAGTAGTTTCATCTTTGTCGTTATCCTCAACATCATGCCAGATTTGTCCGTAATGCGAACATGTTCGATGAAGTATGAAGTCTCTATACTTCCCCACCCTAAATCCCAAACCGTCGGTTTTACATACAGTTTTTGCGATGTTGCTCCGAGCCAGGACAGCCAGGACGTGCAGCCGGTCAGCGAGAAATACGCAGCTCGGCTCCACAGCGATCACTGGCTTGGCACTGACCTCTGCCCGGCTTTTTAGCGGTTTAGGGTTTAGGGTTCAGGGTTTAGGGTTTAGGGTGGATAGGAAGCCCCGCCAGGAGTAGGGGTATAACAGGACTACAGTCAAGCATTGTGTAATATAATGTAATCAGCTGCAGCATGGAGTTGGGTTCCGACGGCAGCAACACTAATGGTTTGGCCGGGCCTCCATAGAAGTAGTCAGGCAGTCTTGATTGATGGACCCAGGGTAGGTCTTTACTGGGTGAAGCTAGACCCCCGACAAGGGGTAAGATGATGCGATGAGTAGTGGCGCATCCGCATATGAATGTGCTCTCGGGCGTCGGCATTTAAGTTATGGCACTCTGTATTCCAGGTGGACGACATCACGCAAGAGCCAGTCTGGGACAAGACCCCCGTGTGCCTGCGCGAAGGAGGCATTTTGGGTTCTGAACCCTAAACCCTAAACCCTAAACCCTACACCCTACACCCTAAACCCTAAACGTTCGGAGCCTTCAGTTCCGAGGCCTCGTGTTGCTTCGGTGGCACAGGGTGTTGGCAACACGCACCCTGCTACTGTCCCTCCCCACACCACCGCACCACGAGCAGCAACCGCAGCAAAGGACGATGGGAACGACCGGCAGTGACGATACCGGAATACCGTACTTAGTAGCTGAGTGGATACACGTTACATTTCTTTGGATAAGGTTCTCCACTTTAAAGCTGAACGTGTACACGTTTGGGGGCTCATGAACTCAGCCACCAAGAGTATAACTCCCAAAATAACTCCTTAGAAACCGGACCATGGAGCACTACATCCGGAATCCTGCCCCAGCTGCCCTGAAAGGCATCCTGTCCTGGGTACGGCCGAGTAGCGAGCGGCCGACGCTGCAGGTGGCCACCGTTCGGCGTGTTGGGCTTGGGGTTCAGCAGCTGAGACTGAGTGGCGAAATAGTTTCTATGGACAATTCTCTAAATTTGGATTCCTTTTGAGGGTCCTTTTGTTTTTCTCAAGGTGCCGTACTATATTACTATATTGGGGATTCAAAAGGGGACCCGAATACGAGAACTACCCATATAAGGCCTCAAAGAGGTTCCTGCTTATCACTTTTATGGTGGGCAAAGTGCGATTTGCTCTCTCTCTCTCTCTCCCTATCTCTCAGTGCATATATATATATATATATACAGATAGATATATTTATGTGTGCACACATACATGCATACATGCATACATACATACATACATTCATACACATACACATACATACAGACGAGATACATACGTACAAACATACATACGTACATACATACATGCATGCTTGCGTACATACGTACGTAGACATGTGTACATACATACGTACATACATATGTACATATACATATGTCATACATATGTATGTACACATACCTCTACAAACTTACATACAAGCACATACACACATACATACATACATACATACATACATACATACATACATACATATATATACATACATATAAATATACATATTCTGGACATATACTAAATCTAAGCATGGATGGATGGATGGACGGATGGATGGATCGGGGGATGGATTGTTGGATGGTGACGTACACATGTAGAGATGTACAAATGTACCTATATGTGTAGAGGTTTGTGCCTGTCGATGTGTGTATATAGATACATGTACACGTTTCTATGAATGTTCCCTATATGTATGCATATATACATGATACATGCATATACAGATAGATAGATATCAATCACCTACCTACCTACCTACCTACCTACCTACCTACCTACCTACCTACCTACCTACCTACCTACCTACCTGTCTATCTGTCTATCTGTCTATCTGTCTATCTGTCTGTCTACTTGTCTGTCTATCTATCCA